CAGGGGGGGTTATCATTTTCCGAATTAAATCCAGCGAAGCAATCGACGTTCCGCACGGAAGTCGATCCACTTCTGGGAAGTGGTTAAATCGACGGGTAACCCGGAGAAAGGTATTAAGGTGAAGTGAAACGCGTCGAGGAACTTGATCGACGTCGATAAAGAAAATTTTTCTAAATGTCTACCCTTAAAAAAAAGTGTTGTATTCGAATCGACTGATTTGAAGGATGTTTCACTTCACCTTAAACCGGCGAAGGAAAGCAGCACATCAAACGAATCTCGCCCGATGGTGAGTCAGCGCGTTCAACGAAGATGGCGATTAGCCCTATGGGCTTTGTGGGGCCACTTTTTACGCAGATGCGCCACCCCTGCTCTTTGCTAAGCCACTTATATCCCCCGCTCCTCCGAGCCGAGATATTGCGCTGATTTTCAATTTCGCCCCTCCCATGCTAGGTCCAAGAAATATAGGAAAAATTGACGAGCCCCCTCGAGCGGTCGACGACGATTCCCCATTCGTCGAGGACGCTTGGAAGTGACAAGATCGACGAGGAAAGATTTATTTTCCCCTGCCACTTCTCGGTGTAAAAGGGCCTCTCTCGAGGGATTCGCCCGCGCGATTATCTCCCATTATCTCAATTCCGGAAGACCGCGTCGGGACTCTCGAAAGGGCCGCCATTTTCCCTCCCTTCCCCGTTTTTGGCACGCGTACCCGGCAACCGTGACCAGCGGCGATTTTCACTTTAACGGCGACTTCGGCGGCCGTAATACGCGGTTAATGTGCCGGAAGTCGTGATAAGACGACAAAACGGCAGATGGTAGATACGGCTCGTGTCCCCTCTCCCCATAGCGCGCGTCGTGGGTGTTCGAGGACGTTAACTGCACAAGACATTGGGGCTAACGAATTTCCAGGCCCGAAAACGTCATCGCGCCTCCCACCAGCGAGGGGAATTTCATCGAAAAATAAAAAGCGTCAAACCTCGGTGAGCATCTAAATATTTCCACCCTGAGAAAAAAAATATTGAATGAAATACTTCTTTAACTAGTACCAAAGAAATATTCTCTTCATTAAAAGAACAATTATTTCACTCAAATGAGCTGGAATAAATTGGATGCAACCGTTTATCCGGGATAATGACAGCTTAATTGAGTGAAATAATTATTCCTGAAATTAAGGAAACGTTTCTTTGTTTCAGTGAATTTTTTTTTGTCCTCGATACAATAAACGTTACCCCAGAAAATGTCGTCGAACCGTTATAACCTCAAAGCGAGCAGAAAATACCTCCTCAAGAATCCTAATCTTTCCATCAAAAGTCTGCTCCTTGTCCTATCGGACGATGCATTAAATTTATTTATAAAGTTCACTTCGTCGAGGGACTCATGCGCGTGCGTTCAAAGTACGGTACACGCGTCAATGACGGCAAATACGGTACTCGATAAGGAGAGCGGACGCGATCGAGTGGCGGCTCGAGTGCAGAGCGCTCTTGCAGCAGCTCGCAGCAGCTCGCGGCACCGCGTGAGTCAGCGGCCACTCTCACCGCGGCCGCGGCGCGGCGCGCACATCCGCGTGTTTACACCCGTCGCCGAACACACGAAGGCAGTCACGAGCGCCCTCGCTCGGGCACATGTCAAAATCCTCGGTTGCATAACGCTCGCCTGGCTGGGTGTCCGCGAAGCGTCTCTTTTCGATTTTAGACGTGACTCACGTCCCGCCAGAGTCGGAGAGTCTTGGCTCCGGCGGGCGCCTAACCTCAAAAACGAGTCGGTAAGAGTCGACCGCCGTTAGGTCCCTACCTAACATTTTATTTTAAGTAATATTAAGAAAGAGACTAAGCAACGCCTCTCGCGCTCCAAAACGCTCCTGGAGACATGCTCTCCCTCGTTTCTTATCTCCCCTTTCTTTATCCGAGTACTTCCGCACCCCAAACTAGATGGCAGCCCTGGGAAACGTCAGACATTCAGATTCTCTGGAAAAAGACGCTTTCCACCTGTTTCCCCTTCGACCTGTCCCCAAGCCGATCACATGAGACATTTCCCTCCTCGATCTTAAAAACCCACCAATAAGCATCCTCCGCGCCTAGGAACATCCTAGGCTAGTATAAAAAGGCCCGCTCTCTGATCTATCGAAGTTTGAACTGTCTCCATTCTGTAACCTGCCTGCGAGGCACCTGTAACTCTCGGCGAACGCTAGTCCCCTTGAGTTGACCGAGTCTACGAGTCGTTCCTGTAAACCAAGAGGCATAGAAAATAAAGTATCTTCGTTACTTTACTCGCCGAGGTCTTTGGCTGGTTTCAACCATCTGGAAGTGAGTCCCAAAAACAAATCCAGGTCCGAACGACATCCTCGGGTAATCGCTATCACCGCTCCCGAGTAAACGATCCTCGACCTAACACCACCTGGCGGCGCTGCCGTCGACTTTCGACACCTTGGAACCTCGTCGAGCAAATGCGCACCGACCTCTCCTCTTCCCTTTCGAGCACAGAATACCATGGAATCGAATTCCCCGTTCGATCTCCTTTTCGTTAGCCTCCAAGGACTCCGGCGTGGTTTTAGCTCGCTGCCATGCGGTTTAATCGCCTCGTCGGTGACGTCCGAAGATTTCCACGCGATTTCCGTCTTGCGTAACGGCGCTACTTGCGCAGGGGCGATCCGAATCGCTCGGCGCGGTTATCTGCGTCGCGATATCGCTCCCCGTCATTGTCGTCGGCACCGGGCGGCCCGGCGCTTAGTTCATCGGTGGATTTAGCCCGAGTCGCGCGTTCCCGCCGAAGGCCCGGATAGGCGAAATGGGGGAAAAAACGAAAGAACTCGTCTTATCGCTTTCGCCTCCTTTACGACTTTACGAGCTCCGCCGGAGATCCTTGATCGAGGGATCTCCGGAGAGCGCGTCGTTAGAGATATTCATAAAATTCGTGCACTTTTATAAGTACATAAGACTGTCCTACAATCATACATTTAAGGTCCTAAAGGTGAACGCATTCGTTAGGAATTTCTAAATGAACTTGTAATTTAACGACATCGTGTTGAAACTTTGTGAACATGAATACACTTATGTACTAAATTTATGACGGATTTCATAAATACGCTGTAAAATTAATATCCCACGTCTGAATAAAATTATCAACGGAATATTGTAAAACTATGATATTTTTTCTTTTTCTTTTTCTGAAGGCGAGACGAGACGCTTCGGCGATGTATCGACGTCTCGGTAAATAAATAAGCAGCTTCCTTTTGGCCCCGGATGATCCGCGTCTCTAAATCAAGCCTGCCCCTGACTCACGGCAACGTGAACAAGGTTTTTGTGAATAAGGTCACGCCGAGGCGCATTTCGAGCGCTCGTCGGAAGAAGAACCCTCGAGTGGATACTCTTTGATAATTCGTCGCCGTATTCATCGGACAGGACGCGTCGTCATCGAGGGAAACCCGTTGGTCCACCGGTTTTGAAAATGAATACTCCTCGAAGATAAGGCAAATCACGAAACTCGGGAGAGTCTCGCGGAAAATATACCCTTACAGGAACTGCCAAGTGTTAGACCCTCCCTTAACCCTAGGTTTACGGGACCCGTCAATTTGACGGAATTCAAACTTCGAAAAGAAATACCGAAAAAACCATAGCATTAATTTTAACCATTCTTGTACCGTAAATTAATCATTTCATCCAAAGAATTTGTACACGCAATTATTTCTTCCTAAGCCTTCTAATTATTAAAATCTGTACGTAGTATACCTACCTCTACGAAACCCGTCAAATTGACGGACTAGCTAATTTCATAAACAATCCATATATATTTGCTTCGTTGCAGGGAGTGTAAGGCGAAGATGAGAGTGAAAGTTTGCATCGAAAGTGGAGAGATAGAAGGATCTTCGGATAGTGAAGAGGAAAACTTCTTGAAAGGGTGTCGTAGCAAGAAAAGGATGCGCATTCTTTCTAGTTCCGACTCCGAGGATGAGAGGAGGAGCATTCCAATCATTTCCGTGGTATTTTCTAAAAAAGTACTTTTTACTTATTAACAATTCATTTAAACGTAAAGCCTAGGGTTGTTTAATTCAGACTTAATTTAAATTAATCGATTTTTTAAAGAAAATGCGTGCTTTCGTTTACCCGTCAATTTGAAAGGTGCTCGTAGAAACAGGTATATATAAAACGCCTGTAAACTTAGTGTTAAAATGTCGCTCCCCTGGACCGAAGCGGTCATAGGAGGCGCGTCGAGCGGCTTTGGAGCCAGCGTGGCTGGAGCGGCCGATTTTTCTCGCGAGTACCGCGCCCTGCCGCGAGGGGCGCGCGCGTCGAGGGGGCCCGCTGTGCGCAAATTCAGCCGGACTATTCGCGGCGTCATCTCGCCGTGAGTCATTCCTATGAATAGATCCCTACCTTGCCTTGCCTCCGGGCCGTCGTCGCCTCCTCCCATCGCTCTTTTTCGCGGTCCTCCGATCGATTTTCACCCACGAGAAAGATCGGCACCGAAGGAACCGAACTGACCATTCGGTGTTTAAAATAAAAAAGTGAAAATCTATTAAATATATATATAGGTAATACGTGTCTCTTTTCATTCCATTCGCCATCGGGCACTCGTAGAGCACGGCGCGCCAAATTTCGCGGAAAGCTTCCGGAGCACCCGAAAGGTATAAAAAAAAAATAAAATCAGAGAAGAGGCACCACGTGGTCCACGATCGACGAGAGCTTTCCGGGGGTAGATAAAGGAGTCGCGTTTCCTTCGCCGCGGCCGAACAAGACGAACATCACAGACGCAAAAGCCGCGGCGGGGGCGGCTGGCAGGAATAACGCGCGCGGATCATCGTTATTTCCAAGAGCGCGTCCACCCACGTGGGCGCGTGTCAACAACTTCGGCGAGGGGGCTCCCCCCGCGCGTGGCTCCCTCCCAAGAAAATCTCGGTCTGCGCAAAAATCGTCATTTCCCTTCCCCTCGCCGTAAAATAAAAATCACCTTATCACCCCGCTTTAGCCCCGAAGGGGGATATCCAAAACTTCAAGGCGCAAACTCACCGATCAAGAGGACGGGCTCCCGATGGTCCTCGACGAGGGCGACGAGCACCAGGAAGAGGGGGTGCTGGGGCGGCAGGTGCTCGAGATCGGCGGTGCAGTCGTCGTAGACGACGACCTCCTGGAAGCTGCGTCGGCGTAAGAGGTCCTTGGCCTCCCGGGCGGTGGCGAGGTCCGCGAGGGCGGCCTTGCCCTGGAGGAGGCGGCGCCGGTTGAAGCGATCCGAGCAGTTCAGGTTGATGGCGCCGCGCAGGTGGTTGACGTTGTAGAGGATGAAGGGCCTCAGGTCGAGGAGGACCGGCGCGTCGGTCGGGTCGCGCAGTCGCTCCGCGAGGCGGTCGGGCCCGATGGTGCGGGCGCGCCGCAGGACCAGCTGACGCTGCAGCGTGCCGCTCTCCTCGCAGGGGCTGGAGGGGAGGCTGACGGTCTCCAGCTTGCAGCGCTTCGACGCCCCGCAGGGCGAGCCGGGCGAGGAGGCCGGGGAGACCGGGGAGACCGGGGAAACCGGCGGACCCAGCCGGGGATGATGGTGGTGATGGTGGTGCCGGTGGTGCCGGTAGTGGTAGCGATGCGGGGGCAGCCGGTGGTGGCGGTCGTCCGGCGCGGCGTCCTCGGCGTCGCCGTCCTCACTGGCGGCGCTCGAGGAGGCACCCGAGGAAGCGGGCGGCGTGGGCGTGGCCAGGAAGAGCAGGCCGCGCTCGGTCGGTCCTCCGGGCGGCCCGGGCTCGCTCAGGCTCCGGTTCAGCGCGAGCTTGAGCCCGTCGCGCGGCGGACGCCCCGCCGGCTCCCGGCACACCAGGGTCGACATCGCCCGAGCCTCACCGGCCACTATATCGAGCACCGCCGACGACGCCAGCGACCGCGGCACAGCTGAAACCAGAGGAGCCGCGATTAGGACACGGGCGCGCTTTCAAAATTAAGGTGAAGTGTCGAGGAACTTGAAACTAAGGTGAAGCGTCGAGGAACTTGATCGACGTCGATAAAGAAGATTTTTCTAAATGCCCACGTTGCCGACGTTTCTTTTTATATCGACAGCTGGGTCGAATTAAATTGGGTATTGTACCAAATGGCATACTCCACCTGTCATTTTCGTACAATAAATATCAAGAAATCGAAGTAAAGCTCCGAAAATCCTCTGGATTCGTGCTTTCCGGGGCAGGACGATTCTTAGATGATCAGGAGTGATGTGTCAAAGTTTCGGACAGTTTGGTCTTTTACCCTTAAAAAAAAGTTTTGTATTCGAATCGACCGATTTGAAGGGTGTTTCACTTCACCTTAACGGTCTCGAGATTAAGGAATTCACGAGTTAAGGTAAAAGGATCGGAGGAGAGGCTTTCCTTGAACCCTGGGAAAGGAAAATTCATTGGGATCGCCGTCGACCGGCTTATCGCCTCGATAAGACCCTCTGTCAAATGACGAGCTATCGGGGCTGGCGTGATCGATCGCCGATCGAGATCGGAATAGCGACTCGCAGCTTGCAAGTCCCACGATGGACCGAGTTTTCCTCCGAGATCGCTTCTCGACCTCGCGAGAGATAAAAATAAAAGCGAGCCACTTTCGACCCTCGATCGGAAGTCGCGGCTATATCTCGGTGCGCTCTCGCCTAATTCAAATTATCGCGCGATGACGCTCGTCTATGAAAAATTCCTACCGACGCGGAAAACCTCGAGCGACGACTCGTTTGTTCGAGATCCGCCGCGTCATAACGCGAGCAACGTCGAGGAGTAACGAAATATGTCAAAGGTCGGGGTACAGCGGGGAGAAAAAAACGCCAATGATTAATGACGCGACCAAAGGCTACAAAAATCTGGCCCGCGCGTGGCCCTGCTTACATAGACATATACGCACACATTTCCCGGCTGACGTAGAAACGTCGAGATTCGGACTAGCCCCGTATTTCGGGATATTAATATATCCCGAATCCATCTCGTGAGATATCGCGAGCGGCAACTTTCCCACTCCGCCACCTGAACACAAAGCGATCGACCTGTCTGCCTCGCTTCCCACACGCAGCGGGAAGGTTGCGGCAACGTTGCGGACACCTTGCCGCAACGTCTCGCATAATTCCGCGAGGTGTGGGCTACGGATTTGCATGCACCTGGGGAAAACCCGGGTCAAAGATACCCCGAACGATCTCGAAACGGAAGGAGCCGGAAGGTATAAAGAAATTCGAGGATTATCCGCGCGTCGCCCCCTGGCCGCCATTTTGGATCCCGCGCGGCCCAACGGAAAGCTCTCCTCGGTCTCGAGAAAACGGAGCCGAAAATCGCAATTGCGGACTGACTAATGGATATAAAAAGGCTCCTTTGTCCGCGAGAACGACGAACGGGGGAGGCGTCGAAAACCGAAGAGCAGAAGCTGCGTCGGCAACCGGCAGAGATATACCCGACGCCGCAAGGTCGACGTCGACGTCGACGCGGAAACCGCGACGTGCGTCAGTTCCCGCGTGGAAGCCCCCCGCCGAAAAATCCTGGATGCTCGATAAGATACCGCACACCGTATCAGCGATCGAGAAATCGGTCCAAAGCCTAGAGATCGAGGAAAAATTCGGCAACGCGGAACCCGCGACGTCCAAATTCCGGGGCGCGTTAAGGTGAAGTGAAACACGTCGAGGAACATGATCGACGTCGATGAAGAAAATTTTTCTAAATGCCTACCTTGCCGATTTTCGTTTTTATATTGACAGCTGGGTCGAATTATATGGGATATTGTACCAAATGGCATACTCCACCTGTCGTTTTCGTACAATAAATGTCAAGAAATCGAAGTAAAACTCCAGAAATCCTCTGGATTCGTGATTTCTGGGGCCCTAATTGACTGCGGAGGGACCCTCTGCGCCATCTGTGATTTCCAGGTCAATTAAATTTTCACTCCGAGACCTCGCATTCCCATCGTTTTAGCATAGAAGCGCATACAACACTTTTCTTGCCTTTATCCCGTTCAAATGCGAGTTTATCGACTATCAGAGTGTTCTAAATTGTCGTAAAATTGTTCTGACCCTTTCGATTCTCATATCAGACCCTTCGATAATTGTACATCGATCAAAATATGAGAGCTCGACGCCATTTTGTTTCTCGTATGGGCTGAGTTAAAAATTAAAAAAAAAATCCAAATTTTGAATATGTCAGGACAATTATTAGATGATCAGGAGCGATGTGTCAAAGTTTCGGACAGTTTGATCCAATACCCTTAAAAAAAAATTTTGCATTCGAATCGACCGATTTGAAGGGGGTTTCACTTCACCTTAAAACTCCTCCTCCGGCACCCTCGCGCGGTTACTCAACCCGCGGTTACTTAATCCAAGTTTACCGCTTGGACGATTCCGATACGCCGCGACTCCCTTTCCGCGCCACCTTTTCCGACCACTCTACGCCACCCTACGTCCCCCATTATACATTCAACGATCGAAAACAACCGATGACCGAGTCCCCTGTCCCGAAGTGCACCCAGTGCTCGTTATTGTCGTCACGATAACGAGAGGTACGTGAGTCGAGTACCAACGACCGTCTATGACCGGCCACTCCGGCCGACATTAAAGGAGCCATATACGCTTCCAAATCCTGGCGCCGAGGCAAATTCTCGAATCGCCTTCCGATTTCGAAATATCGACGCATCGATCTACGGCTCGAGGTTCCGGAAATCCCATTTTCGCCCCGTATCCGGAAGTCGAGGAAAACTACCGGCGCACCGCCACTCCTCGAGATCTACCGGACCCGAAGATCGAAACGAAGAGATCGATCGAGCGATCGATCGTCGAGACGTTCGACCTGGCCATCGCCGGAACGACCGGGGTTGTCGGATCATTCGAGCGGAGCTCGTTACGGGAAAAGAAACGACCCAACCAGGAAGTCTCTCCAGGGCAAGGCTCGACAAGAGCCGAGAGATCGCCAGCGCCGCCGTCGCGATATCGAGAGAGAAAGAGAAAATAAATCGATCGTTAAATCGTCCCTACCGCGTGTATCAATAAATCGAAGGTTACATATACGCGCATAATCCTCTCTCTCGTAACACATCCGCGCGTTATATCCCAGGGAAAGTGAAATCCCCGGAGACGGGGCGAACGTCTTCGCGCGCCTCGCACCTGCAGGTCTTGAATCGAGACACCGTCTCGCACCTGTGCCAACACCGCTTCCCCCGCGTCCTACGCTCAGAAAAAGAAAAAAAAACAATTTCATTGAACCGAAGAAATATAATGTCAATTCAAAGCAAAATTATTCTACCCAAACAAACCCCAAAAAAAAATTATACGCAACGTTTATTCGGAATTATGGCTATTTATACTTATCAAATAATTAATCTTGGAATTAACAAAATATCTCTCTGGTTCAATGAATGTTTTTTTTTATCAATCTAGAGAGGTCCCGAAAGAGGTCTGGCAAGTGATCGACGTTGGAGTCGATTTTTCTCCGTGTCAATGTCACGTCGATCTGTCGCGAGTGGTGAGCGCAGGTGTACGCGGAGAGGGGGACAGGGGGGGGGAGGAGGAGGGCGACGAATTTTCTATGAGTCAGGGGCTAAAATTAGCGCCCAAAGTCGCTCTCTCTCTCTCTCTCTCTCTCTCTCTCTCTCTCTCTCTCTCTCTCTCTCTCTCTCTCTCTCTCTCTCTCTCTCTCTCTCTCTCTCTCTCTCTCTCTCTCTCTCTCTCTCTCTCTCTCTCTCTCTCTCTCTCTCTCTCTCTCTCTCTCTCTCTCTCTCTCTCTCTCTCTCTCTCTCTCTCTCTCTCTCTCTCTCTCTCTCTCTCTCTCTCTCTCTCTCTCTCTCTCTCTCTCTCTCTCTCTCTCTCTCTCTCTCTCTCTCTCTCTCTCTCTCTCTCTCTCTCTCTCTCTCTCTCTCTCTCTCTCTCTCTCTCTCTCTCTCTCTCTCTCTCTCTCTCTCTCTCTCTCTCTCTCTCTCTCTCTCTCTCTCTCTCTCTCTCTCTCTCTCTCTCTCTCTCTCTCTCTCTCTCTCTCTCTCTCTCTCTCTCTCTCTCTCTCTCTCTCTCTCTCTCTCTCTCTCTCTCTCTCTCTCTCTCTCTCTCTCTCTCTCTCTNCTCTCTCTCTCTCTCTCTCTCTCTCTCTCTCTCTCTCTCTCTCTCTCTCTCTCTCTCTCTCTCTCTCTCTCTCTCTCTCTCTCTCTCTCTCTCTCTCTCTCTCTCTCTCTCTCTCTCTCTCTCTCTCTCTCTCTCTCTCTCTCTCTCTCTCTCTCTCTCTCTCTCTCTCTCTCTCTCTCTCTCTCTCTCTCTCTCTCTCTCTCTCTCTCTCTCTCTCTCTCTCTCTCTCTCTCTCTCTCTCTCTCTCTCTCTCTCTCTCTCTCTCTCTCTCTCTCTCTCTCTCTCTCTCTCTCTCTCTCTCTCTCTCTCTCTCTCTCTCTCTCTCTCTCTCTCTCTCTCTCTCTCTCTCTCTCTCTCTCTCTCTCTCTCTCTCTCTCTCTCTCTCTCTCTCTCTCTCTCTCTCTCTCTCTCTCTCTCTCTCTCTCTCTCTCTCTCTCTCTCTCTCTCTCTCTCTCTCTCTCTCTCTCTCTCTCTCTCTCTCTCTCTCTCTCTCTCTCTCTCTCTCTCTCTCTCTCTCTCTCTCTCTCTCTCTCTCTCGCACCGCGGCCCGGGCGAGGTACGGGAGGAACGGATAAACGGAGAAATCGAGAGATGGAGAAAAATAAACGAGAGGAGGCACACCGGGATACGAAACCACGAGTAGATGCACGGCCAGGCGTTGCGAGCCGCGTGTGCGTGCACGCGGCCGAGAGGGAGAGAAAGATGGAGCCTCGTGGCCGCCATCGGCGAGTTCCTCCCGAGACTCGGGTTCGTTGTTTCGAGAGTGAGTAAACGCCGTGGAATTCAGCGAAACCGGCCACGGGCCGCTGCGGGTTCTCCGCGGACAGGTGCAGATATCCCCGCACCTGCGCCGAGCCAATGCCCCACCGGCTGACCGAACTGACTCGTACTACTTAGCGGCCCGATCGTCGTCGCGTAGAGAAGGAAAGAAGTAAAAAAAAAAATAAGAGGGTCGAGATAACGCAGACCCCCTTTCCAACGGTGTCCCCATCGAGGCGATAAGGGCGAGCGACCCGAGCCTCTCGGTCTCCGCTCGAGAGCACCCCTATTCGGACGATCATCCGTGCGCTATCGGATTTTCGACGCGTCGTAAATACGCCGGATGCCCTGACAGAAAAAAAAAAAAAGGGAAAAAAATACACGGAACCAGAAAAATATTTTGTTAATTCAAGGAATAACAATTTTTCTTTAATAAAGTATCATAATCCCAAAGAACCGGTGCGTCCAATTTATTCCAGTTTGATGGAGATAATTATTTTTAGGATTAATAAAATATTTCCTTGGTTTAATGGCGTCCTTTTTTCTCGGCGTAGATCGCGATCGAGAAAGATCGAGGAGGAACGAGGGGATCGTAAATCCGGCGTGGAAGGATCGTGGCAAAAAGGAGGTACGGGAAGAAGCGGCGCGTTCCAGAGGCGGCCCCCTCGGTGCATCCACCTACCTTTCCCGAACAGGTGAACCGGTTCGCGCGTCGCGGCCGCTCGATCCGCCGGCCGGCCGGCCGGCTCCAAGGGAAGGAACCAACGAGCGGCCGCGCGCTCTCAGAGGGCCCGGAAGCGGAGGCGGAAGGAGCGCGGTCCTAGGCCGCGGGGCACGGGGAGAGGGGCGGCCCGCATGACCTCTGACGGCCGTCCGGCGACCTACGTCCTCGTGGCCGCTCGGCGGGTAAGCACGGTCGCGACTTTACCACTCGGCGGCGGAAACGAGAAGGACCGCGCGAGCCGAAGGACGGGGAGGAGAAGCGCGCACGCCGGCCGCCAGGCAGAGACTGCGCCTCCATGCCGCGCCGCTCGCCGGGCCGCCGCGCGGTCCGACAGGGGGTGGGGGGAGGCCTCCGCCGATGCAGGCGCACGGTCCACCGGAATCAGCCAATCGGAGGCCGCGCTTTCCGCTCGGTCCGGCGGCCGCGCCGCGAGGAGCCCGATGAGTCACCCGCGAGCGCGCGGACCGCGCTATCGATGACCCGGGGAGGGGCTTCCTTTAAATGATCGCCGATGACGAATCTAATAATCGCGGGCGGTCTCTAGGCATTGCCACAAAGGCGCTCGTCGATGCCGGCTCTTTTATTCCCCTTGATTTCATATTAACACTAGGTGTACGGGACCCGTCAATTTGATGGAATTTAAACTTCAAAAAGAAATACCGAAAAAGCATTAATTTAAAAAAATAAAAGATAATTTTTAAAAAAGTACTTT